AGGTAGGTAGGTGTGTGTGTGTGTGTGTGTGTGTGTGTGTGTGTGTGTGTGTGTGTGTGTGTGTGTTGCTGCTGCTCACCATGCCATCAGAAGAGGGAACCGTCTGTTTGGCAGCGAGTCGTGGACTGCAGCGCTTCACTGTGGTTCTCCTCATGATGAACGGACTGGCCTCCCCCAGAGGAATATCACCAAAACCTGCCAGAGAACAAATTATTACTTTTCTCATCCTTAAATGTTTTGTAAAATTGCACCAGCATTTAAATAGTTACATTTACTGCATACATCTAAATCCATAAGGGGTTAAAAAAAGAAACAGGTGTTTTCTTCCCTAGATTTGGATGAGCTTGAGTTGCAGTTACATTACCTCTCTGCACCAGCTCAGGCAGCCCCTCTGGTCTGAACTCATCGTCTTCCTGCTCACTTTTTGGTTTGGCTGTCGTCACTGCGTTGGCTTTGATCTTCTTTGTCAGGTTGTGCAGGGCCTCCTGGGCGCTGTCTTTATTGCTGATGTCACGGTGAGCTCGTTTCCCCTGAGGAGACCTCTGCAGAGTTAAAGGTGCCATGTTCTCTGTGTTCTCATCCAGTTTTTCCTCGGGATGTTTGGAGTAAGACTTCCTCCCTGAGCGGCGCCGGCGAGTAGCGTCCGCGCTGCTGGAGGGAACATTTGATTCGTTAGCTGGTCGGCTAGCAGTGAGCTGCTCCAGCCGGATTGTCAGTGAATCGTTGGTCTCTTCCAGTTTGTGGACTTTAAGCATAACGCTGCAGTATTTTTCGATGCTCTCGTCGGCCTCCTTGCTTTTCTCCTCCAGGTTTTGGTTTAGTTCGTCAAACTCGCTCTTCATCTCCTGCAGCTCTCCGTTCCTCTCTTCTAACTCTTTCTTCTTTCCATCGAGGGCAGCCTTAAGTTCTTCCACTTCCTTACTTTTTTGTTGGGACTCCACTATTTTTTCTTCTGCCTCCACCTTCTTCTGCTGCAGAGCACTCTTCAGGTCTTCCACTTCCTTCTCTCTCTGCTCTGCCGCCTCCTTCAGCTGCACCGCGTCGCTGCTCTTCACGTCGCCTGTGACACAAATGTGCCCCATGTTAACAAAATAATTAGTTTGCACTGTCGAGGGAGTAAGTCGCCATGTTTCTAAATTGATTATTGTCTATAAAATACCCGATTATAGTGAACAAAGTCATAATATCAATTAATGTAATGTCTTGTTTGTCCAAATCCAACTTCAATTGGATATTATAGAGAGGCGAAGTCCCTCCCTTTCCGGGGGAGCTCCATGGGACCTTATTTCGGAAAAAGTATGTATTGAAGTCAATGGAGAGAGAAAGATTCTCTTTCGATCCCGTTTGAATTGTGCCATGAATAACACATATGATGTTTGTCAATTTAAAAGATAATTTTGCAAGTAAAAAAAAAAAATGTGTCGTAAAACTGTGAAGTAACACTTTTTTGTGTGTGAAACCGCTCAATGAACTACATCTCCCGTCTCGCACCACACACCAAGACGGCCGTACGTTGGCACATTTCAATTCTTTCTTTCAGAATGATGCAAAAAGTATTAAACGAGGAGAAAATCACTCCAAGTCTGGGCATGTTGAGAGCTGTACATACACACAAGGGGAGTTAGTCGGTTCCGTAAGAGCCATCATGCAGGACCGGGATTCTGGGATTTGTAGTCTTTCTAATTGCGTATTTTTCATAGTCTTATATTTCCACAGTTTTACGACAAACTGTGACTTTTTTGACATGGAAATTATTTTTTAAGATAGACAAACATCATATGTGTAATTCGTAGCACAATTCAAACGGGATCGAGAGATACGTTTTCTCTCGCCATTGAGATATACTTTTTCCGAAATAAGGTCCCATGAGGTCCACCGGAAAGGGAGGGACTTCGCCACTCTATAGTGATACCGTAGCTCTTCTGTTTTTAATCAAAACTAGTATAATGATACAACCTAAT